TAAAGCAGACATATTTTTGACTAAAGAATAAACAATTTGTCGACTTCATGAGCAGGTTGTATATCCTATGTTTTGAGTTAGAACCCAATGTATTAAACAAGTATGAAAAATGAACAATGCTTTGTCATTTATACATCAGGTGTCATTCTGATTGTTCTTGATGAAAGTTCGTCATCATTTATCATGCTAGCAATGAGGTGACCCAAAAGCCCAAAGTAGACTGTTTAATTTAGTTTAATTACATAACATTGTATACATGTGTCAAAATATGCTCCATTGTTCCTGCCTGGATGGGTATTGTTTCACATTGCAGGTAAACCTGCATACACCTTGGTTTGTCTGCAGTACTGCTGATCACTGCTACCTAGCTGCACATTTTATGAAACTCTGGGTAAGCAACCTCTAGGTCACTCCAAAACATGAGCTCAAATCCCAGATGGGACTCAACCCATGCAGTGATTGATACAATGAGCAAGGCACCACATTAACCAAGTTTGATGACACACAATCTCAGCAATGTTACAGATACATGGTAGTGGCTAGTTAATATGGACCAGACAATCCAGTGATTGATACCATGAGCAAGACGCCACACTGACAAGACACACAATCTCAGCAATGTTACAGATACATGGTGTTGGCTAGTCAATATGGACCAGACAATCCAGTGATTGATACCATGAGCAAGGCTCCACACTGACAAGACACACAAGCTCAGCAATGTTACAGATACATGGTGGTGGCTAGTCAATATGGACCAGACAATCCAGTGATTGATACCATGAGCAAGGCGCCACACTGACAAGACACACAATCTCAGCAATGTTACAGATACATGGTGTTGGCTAGTCAATATGGACCAGACAATCCAGTGACTGATACAATGAGCAAGGCTCCACACTGACCAAGTTTGAAGACACACAATCTCAGCAATGTTACAGATACATGGTGTTGGCTAGTCAATATGGACCAGACAATCCAGTGATTGATACCATGAGCAAGGCACAGTGATTGATGACAAGGCACCACACTGACAAGACTCAGCAATGTTACAGATACATGGTGTGGCTGTCAATATTGACCAGACAATCCAGTGAATATTGACCAGACAATCCAGTGATGTTGATATGGTGTTGGCTAGTCAATGAGCAAGGATTGATACCAGCAATCCACACCAAGTTTGATGACACACAATCTCAGCAATGTTACAGATACATGGTGGTGGCTAGTCAATATGGACCAGACAATCCAGTGATTGATACCATGAGCAAGGAGCCACACTGACAAGACACACAATCTCAGCAATGTTACAGATACATGGTGTTGGCTAGTCAATATTGACCAGACAATCCAGTGATTGATACCATGAGCAAGGCGCCACACTGACAAGACACACAATCTCAGCAATGTTACAGATACAGATGGTGGTGGTGGCTAGTCAATATGGACCTGAGACAATCCAGTGACTGATACCATGAGCAAGCTCCACACTGACAAGACACACACAATCTCAGCAATGTTACAGATATGGTGGTGTCAATATGGACCAGACAATCCATGACTGATACAATGAGCAAGCACAATTCCAGTTTGATGATCTTTGATACCATACATGGTGGTGGAGTCAATATGGATCAGACAATCCACACTGACCAGGTATGATGACACACAATCAACCAAATGACCAAGTCTGACCACTAGATCCATTAGGTTGCTGATCCAGGATGCAGATCAGTCTGGGATGCAGATCACCACAGGATGCAGATTGCTAAAGGATGCAGATCAGTCTGGGATGCATATCAGTCTGGTATGCAGACCAGCACAGGATGCAGATCAGTCTGGGATGCAGATCACCACAGGATGCAGATCAGCAGAGGATGCAGATCAGTCCGGGATGCAGAGTTCCTCTTCTACTCTGAAATCCCTATGGAGCTATCCATCAAGTAATGTGGCTCAGATAATGTTACTTTATAGTCTCTGCAGAAACCCTCCTTATTCATCATTTTCACACCGTACAAGGGATGAAGTCAGTTGAGCCGAAACATCAGCCATGACAAGTGATTTCCTGATGCCCAGATTCTCAATACATTCTCCATCATACCAGAGGACTTATGGTACAACTGATACAAGGAGTGAATTTGGTTTACACATACACAGCCTTCTCTATGACATGAACTGTATCTTATATTTCAAGGCATTGTTATCCATATAACAGACATAATTTGCCAAACACTCAATCAATCCTGGGTTACCTTTGACACTATCTACATCTGACTTATATATATATTTTGTTGTATATTTCACATTGGATTTCCAATATCGGCACTTCAGTCATCATGAAACCTTGACATATTTATACTGGTATATTTGATAGCCCGAGAGTCAGCATGGCTAAACTGTATGTACATCCAGTTCCACAAAGAAAGTGTAGGGTTGAAATGATAGTAACTTCAATGCTTTAACACAGATTTCAGGTAGTCACTGAACAGTCTCTGACACAGGCCTAGGCAGACATTTAGACCCAGAGATAAAGATGGCTTATTAAAAAGATATATATCTACACAAAAATAATAATAAGATCCAAAGGAAGCCCAGGAGAAATCTTAATTTCCTGTAACTGTGGAAATCTAGATTTGCCCAATTATTTTAAACATGATTTGGACTTGTTTTTTAATTTATGCTCTAGGGTCTGGGTCACAGACTAATACAGACCCTGAAACAATAACACAAATAAACAAATAAACAGGTCTACAATACTGTAGCAAGTCTAGATTTCTTAAGCTTCCTACAGAACAGTTATTCTCTGGACTTATGCCTAAAACGCAATTAACAGAAAAAATAAAATAACTTAAAATATCTTAAATTAAAAAACTAAATGGCAGTCAAGTAATAGTGCCAAGATCACTTTCTGACCCTGGCTCCTTCCCACAAAGCAATCTTAGCCAACAATAATCTTAAGTCTTTCTGCGTCAGGACAGAGGTAGTACTAGTATCATATTATATGACAGAGCTAAACAGTTTACTGACAGCAAGATGACGTGCTGTTTCACCTAGAAGTACAATCAGCGTTTAAACATCACCAGTATTCCCCATCCTCTGGTTAGGCGGACCGGCTGTGGTGGACGGGGACATCGGAGGGATTATCAGGGCAGCCATACAAGTATCAAATGACACTGGGACAAGTGCCTTTAACCACCATGTTGTCTAAAGGGGATAGCTCATGTTTGCTTGTATTACCACTCTCTTTATCCTTGAGTCCTAATTGATGAGCAATAACAACAGTTATATCAAGGATATCAGAGTAGGGTAGAAAATATTCTTAAAAGCTGGATATGGGTAATTAAACCACGGTTTTAAAAAAAGTTATCTATTTACTTTAAACAATGAAAACATTGTTCAGAAAATGAGAATGATCAAATCATACTGTTCCCAATCTGAACTTCTGAACTGAATGTTGAAAAGTGTTACCGATTTCTGGAATTCTATTTAATAGCTTTATCAATTTAGTAATGATCAATAGCATAAAAAAAATAAATACAAAATCTTAACAAAACCACACAAAAAACTAAAAACCACAAACATCAACCTATGGATCTGGTAATAGCTGCCCCCTCCACATAAATGCCCTTTAATAACAGTGCTTCCACACAGGGCTTAAGCTTCATTGAACTGGGCCCACCTTCAAAACATGCTGATTTTCACCTGTCTAAGAGGATAATGTCATTCCTTGTCATCACCGCAATCAAGATACACCCATGTGAAATGGATTAGAAGCCATCAGAGACTGGTTTTGTTAATAATATGCTGCTCATGAAACTGATCTAATCGATTTCGAAATTCATGCCAGTTGAGAGTTGGTTATGATATGTTTAAGCAAGGAGAATGATATGGAAATAATGACATGCCTTTGTTCAAATACACAACAGTAATGACAGATACCTACTCAGAAATCCCTAACACTGATTAGAGAGTTTGGTAATGATGTTTTAAAGTGTTAAGCATTGCAATCCCTTCCCTACAGCCAATAAAAGTTGATTACAGTGAGAAAACCATGTAGTCATTTGATTTGGTAATATTAGCTTTGATTTCGGGAAATTAACATCAAAGCATGGCATCTGAAAGGCATGGTCCAAAAACCGCAAGCCCCTAGCCTCCAACAAAGATATTGACGTTCATTTAATTCATTAATATTGGCCGATGTAAAAAAGACGACGGTAGGAGGTGGCGAGGTTTGGGGAGCGGTGCGAGGGAAAATTACCCCCAACTACAGACAAAGAGATTAGTAATTCCTTGCTGCAAGCGTAAAAGACACGGACCAAATCCCCCATGACACTGTGGCTAAAGACAAGTGGGTAAAATATTGTCGGATGATCGGCGGACAGATGTCACAACCTCTCGTCTGACCCTGTCAAAAACATCAAATCTACTGAAATTGACAAGTTTTTTGTATTTTGCTATTACTCATACATGGGATGAAAATGATAACAAGTGAAATTGGCAATTCGCTTTTTGAAATTGTAATTAATGGAACAAGGGATGAAAGACTTGGTTCTGATTGCCATCTTGTTTATTTCAATCTAATTATTACTCAGAAAAGAACCTGGATGCCTCATTGCAAAATGAAAAAAAGGACTTTTATTCAACTACAGTGTCGAAGACTCAGAGTTCAAATAACACTGACTGGCTACATTTAATATAAATCAAAGAATGATCCCTGGAAATAATATTTCTTATTACTCAGAAAATGATTAAAAAATTAATACTAGGAACAAAATAGACCATACAGGACATAGAAGGAACCCTTGTCATGTACGTGTCATGTACATTTCATTAAGCTTTCAATATCTAAAATATGCAAATGGGTATGGATCTTTGAAATGCTAATTATATTTTCAGACAAAATGTCAATGCTTTAACTCTCAATGGCTAAATAATATCAAAGCTACCAAGAAATAAATTGGTATTTCTTTTCAAGCCCCTATTTTGCTGATATTACTCACTGTCCACTGTTTCCGTTCCCCCACACAAATATTTCATCCAGGTCTGAAAAAGAAAGAAGTTGAGAAATATTATTTTTACCAAACAATTGGAACATAAAATATCTGTTATTGATGACAGGCATCATACAGAGAAAGAGCCATCAATTTCCACTGATCTTTCTTGGCATTGGTTTGAGTCATGTGGAAACACATACCTGCTTTTGATTTACTTATGTGCAATTGTTTTCCAATATGTGAGTGAGTGAGTCAGTGATCGAGTGAGTGAGTAAGTGAGTGAGTGATCAAGTGAGTAATTGTGTGAGTTACTTTGGCATTTGATCATATAACTATAGACAGGTGACTTAAGAGGATCATGCACCTTTATACAGGTGACTCAAGACGATCATATAACTATAGACAGGTGACTTAAGAGGATCATGCACCTTTATACAGGTGACTCAAGACGATCATATAACTATAGACAGGTGACTCAAGATGATTATATAACTATAGACAGGTGACTCAAGATGATTATATACCTATAGACAGGTGACTTAAGAGGATCATGTAACTGTAAACAGGTGACTTGAGAGGATCATGCACCTTTATACAGATGACTCAAGACGATCATATAACTATAGACAGGTCATGCAAGAGGATCATGCACCTTTATTCAGGTGTGAAGATTCTAATGGGGACTTTCAGTACTTTTAAAATATGTTCCTCATGGAGGAGAAAGACATATTTTCAGAATCTCTAAATATGGATATGATACATATGATAAAATCATTATCATAACTTACACAACACTCATTCTGTTTTGCTAAATTGCATAACATTTGTGCAATGGTGTTATGACTAGATGTTTTCTCTTCTTCATTTGAGGAAGCCAAACTTGACTGAAAAGTAAAGTTTCAAAATTGACTGAATTAAGTTTCTTATCTGCCATGAAACTTTGAACAGTCACTGTACAGAAAATATTTCCATGTAAAGTGTCAAGGTTCATTCAGACGTTAAAACATGGGACAGCTTAATTAACTATTTAGGCATAGTAACTTTTAAAGAGATGAAACAGTTCATTTTAGGTCAATCAAAAGGTATATTCAAATTAACTTGCTTTTTAAATCTCCTTGAAAACAAACTATCTGATATCAAACTATAAACTGAAGTAGTTATATATCCTGATTTATCTAACATACCTACAGTTACTTTCTTGAATTCCAAATGAAAAGTAGTCTTTTTCCCATGCTGAGTATTCAAACAAGATTAATCGTTTGATTAGCATTCTAGAAGTTGGTGAGTCAAAAAAAGTTGTATGTTTCATTTTTTACAAAAATAATCTTCCAATTACATTAATTATTGAAAACTGATTTGATCATACACCCTGAGCAGCCATCATAAAAAAAATTAAAGTCAGATGTGTTCATTCATAACACCATGGAAAACAATAGTATCTCTCACCGAATACCATATTTTAACAACATTTGAACCACAAAACATGAATTCTACATCATCTTGTCAATCCAGAAAATTAGTAGCTCTGTTACAGTTCAGTACCCAAATGACCTAGATTCAAAATACCAAAGGGGAAAGGCACATTTTTTACGAAAACCTTTCACACTGACCATTCTGCCAAATGAGCAAGCCCAGAAGAAAGTAAGTATCTGATGAAGGACAAAACCTAATTCACACTTCAAACAAAATGCCAATTTTAATATGCCATCTTAAAAGTTAAAATCTATTTTGAAATCCTCAGTTGTGAGGTTGCCGTCACGTTTCCTGTTTGCGGTTAAAGCAGCTAAATGAAAACATGGCATCAGAGAGCACAGACAAAGAGCCTTGATGCCTTTGGAAGCACTAAAAATGACTTTGACTGCAAAGTTCAATACCATTTCAATACTGGGAAAGGACACACAACCGCTTGGGGATAAGCACGATATTGACAAGTCGTGAAGAGTATACGCAAGGACGTAGCCAAGCCCCTAAACTAATAAAGCTTAATAGAAAGATGACAAGAGAGCCAATTAGCCTTCAGCAAAAATATGAACTAACCCACTTGAAAGTTATCCCTCTTTTCCTTTTGCCATCTTTATCACATGTTTTTGTCTGTGGTTTCTCTTCTTGGAAGAACTAAAGCTTTCAAATCATGTTTTTTTATCAATTTTTCTCTATTGAAACTTTCATCCAATTCTTTGAAATAAACATCACAGTATTCATGGCCCTGCAGAGCGAACACAGAGTTGGGACTAATCGAAGTCGACTCAATCGCCTCACACAATGGCGGTGATGGGGTTATTTGGAACAAATTGGAAAGGCCATCACTATGTGCAATTCTGCATTTACTTCCAAAGATGGAATGAGATTCTATACACATCTGAGGAATTTTGTATTCTGAATATGACAAAAAATCAAGAGCATATTCTCTCTGGGATAAAGCCTCAGCCAACGTCAGTCGAAATTTCATTTGCAAGTTGGTCTTGTGAAATGGCTTTGGTGATCACCCCTTGACATTCATAATGACAACAATCTTGACTCGTATTGCGATTCGATAGATTATGGCGCTGAGTTCGCGGCCTCTAGCGCCGATCAAATAACTCCAACAGGATCAAAATTAAACCTCCGATGTTGGTGGGCATCGAATCGTGGCAATATTGACAAAATCTAGGATGAAATATTGGGGTAGTCTTTCATGACAATTTTCACCATAACTGCCACAGGGCAGGCCATAATAACCATAGGTCATTGCTGATATGAGGCCATCCTGTCAGCAGTGAATAAGCCTGTAACATAACCATGTTCACTCCATGGCAAAACAATAAATCGGGGGGCCATTTGAGGCAATGTAGGATTAAGCTTCACTGTCTACCCTCTTCCGTTCTGCTAATTGCTATTCTGGTTTTTGCTCGGCTGACATTACCCCCGAAATTGGAGATAGGAAGGACTAGAGATTTCATTATCTTCCGCGATCAGCCAAATCAGAAAGTTTGACATGGGCTCGTGCAATGATGTACAACAGTGAATATCAGAACCTTGCAAATCTTGGTCCTGACATGAAAAGGATTTTATGGTAATCAGAGAAGACTTTCAACTCTCCGATAGAGCATTATTACGAATCGACTGCAATTCTGGATTTTTGAGTGCTAAATCAGGCCATTTCTATACACATTATAGTCCCCAGCTATTGACTGAATCTACTTTGATGGGGCAAAGGCATTAAAAACACATTTCTTGATAGAAATCTACGTTATACAGAAACAATCCTAGCGCTGTGATGAATATCAGACTGATGCTGACTTAAAACAAGTCATAAATTCTGTAGTCGAGGTTGTCTCACACATTCTAAAAGGAAAATAAAACTGCATCAAAAGATTCTATCAAAACTATGATTTTTCCAATATTGATGGAATTTATGGTCATGGGTGCTGTCCCATACAAAATACAAAGATATAAAATTCATGTTAAAAACTGTCCACAAAAACGCTCAAAGAGACAGGGACAATTTAAATAAAACAGCATATCCCAAATTGCAGTCTGTCCATTTTAACCAAACCAACATGAGAATAATCTTCACTTTTGTCTGGATTTGTTTGACAAACAAAACCATCAATACAGCTGATGCTCCTTTTTGAATTTAAGACATCCTTGACATCGTTTGGACAATAAATCACCACTGAAACAAATCTGTTCTAAATAGCCGATTTTTGTCTGACATCCAAACATTTCTGTGCTTGTGACGTGAACAGGGAATAAGGTTGTTTTTCTATTGTTAAAACCTCTATTTGTCCGTCAATTTGGATCCCATTGAGAAAAGAGTGAAAATCACCTAAAGCGAACAGAGGCCCATAAGAGCATCCACCTGTCAAAATCTTCCACATGAGTACTCTCTACATCTCTTGTTAACAGAAGCTGCATGTGTAAAAGCAAATTGTTTCTTTAGTTAATCGATAGCCTCACTGACTGTAATCAACGGGTGTTCATTTCGCACCTCTCAAGTGACATTGACAACTACAAGCTTGTAAGGATTCTTCACCTCACAAAAGGCTCTCACTGAACTTACTTAGTGGTGTACTTCTCCTTGCATATTTGTCAGTTTATTTTTGCTTGTTGTCGTTGGTGGTAAAAGCCGGAGCCAGTGTTTCGAGCCTTGTGGGGTCCATAGGCTGAGGCTGTAGCACCCTGATGGATGTAATTGCCCTTCAAGCATTGATTTTTTTACAAATTAGCGATAGCAAATTACTTCTTTATCTTCGACAGACATGTAATTCAAATAGAAAATGACATCCCGCGAGAGTGAGGCAGAGTTAGAAAGTGTAACAAAGAGAAATTAAGTTATTCCATGATGTCTAAATGCACCTCTGACAAACAGGCCGCTTATTGAGCTGACAGTTAAACCAACTCGTGGGGAATTACCAAAGCAGCGAACATGAAAACGTAAAAACTCATGTTCCTATCGACCCGCTTCGGCCCAAGAAGCATTTCAGGGCTGGAGATCAGAACTTTTCACCCTTCATCTTATCACCAGGACAAGATCTTGCTACATGTTAAATGAACTGGACAAGTTTTTGCGCCCGTGAAGGCAACTATTGCTCATGACTGTGCTCAGAAAGTGCAATTTGAATGTTCACACATTTGACATTCCAGGCGGAAAAAATCATAAAATGTGTAATGGTCATGTCAAAGGTTATCGACTCTTTTTGTCTCCTAGCTATCAGAGAAACATGACAAGCATAAATGGTGATCTTGGTTGAAGCACTTGACAAATATGACTTTAACAGCTTTACGTGTGATGTCATTTGAGAATATGGAATGAACCATGCAAAAAGGTCTGAAAATGAGTTATGGTGCAATTTAAAAGACAATGGGAAATTTTCCAGTCATAATTTGGTCATCTTTGTTTAAATCCCACTGCAAATCCAATTGCAATCTAAAAAAATAATTAGAAAAACAGTTTTTTCAAACCAAAATTGTTTGCAAGGATACAATATATTTAGACATGGCTTAATATGTAGAAAAATAGTGTTTTAAAAACCACTCGTAATTTCATACATAATTTCAGAGGAAACA